GGTTGTCTGTACTAACTAACACTTTAGCAAAATACTGTGATTACGCCCACATGTATCAAGTCAGCTAATTGTGCCTGCATGCACCAAATTACCTGTGCTATTTCTCATGCCTAGAACAAGAAGACCTAATTTTACACTGTCTTAGAGCTCAGCATTTGCAGAATCTTAAGGCCCCAATAGATCTGAGATGTTGGAAACACAGCTTGGCCCTCTCACAGGGCCACTGAGTCTGTGAGGGTCTCTCATGATGTTCATCTGCTGGGATCATGGAAGACTGGCACAGTGGTAGAATACCACTTCTCCTGGGAGGACTTAGGAGAATACAAACTTAGTTACTTCATCTTGGGTACAAAATGCGATGTGAAGCAGCACAGGCCATGCAGCCCACTTGGACGTGGGCTCAGGATCTAAGCCCTGGCTCTTCCCTCACTGTGATGTGGCTTGGCAATTTCATCTTTCTGAACTGTGAACTGAAGTCAATGCAGGGAGACGTTCTGTACACTGTTTTGTCAACACATCTCAAGCAGGTATTTAGGCAGCTTTAAAAGAGAAACTGGAGCTTGTAATCTTAGCATGCAGGGAGCAGAGGTGGGATGGGCACAGGTTCCAGGACAGTCTTACTGATGCAGTGAGATAGTTTCAAAATTTCAGGTCTTTGTAGTACTCAGTCCAAATGAGGGCATTAGGGGTCTACCTGCTCCAAAGCTGACCAAAACCAGAACCCACAGCTCAGCCTTCCATACCAAAGCTTTCCCTAGACAAGGGTCCCTATTTAAAAAAAAAATGTATTTATGTGTTTGCCTGCGTGAGTTTATGTGTACCATGTGTCATCCAATGCTCAAGGAGGCCAGAAGTGGGCATCAGATCCCCTGGAACTGGAGTTACAGGCAGTTGTGAGCCACCATGTGGATGCTGGGCTGCGAACTGAAAAAAACCCAGGTCCTTTCCAAAAGCCGTGTGTGCTCTTAACTGCTGAGTATGTAAGCACACCTGAGTTGTACAATGCTGTGGTCGGAAGGCGGCGTTGGATCCCCTGGAACAGGAGTTACAGTTGTTAGCTGCCATGTGGGTGCTGGGAATCAAACCCGGGTCTTCTCCTTAACTGAGATCTGCCTGTCTAGCGTCTCATCAATGGCTGTGCCCTTCAGTGACTTACTGGACTGCCTGGGCCTTTCAGAACACTAGTGAGCACATGCCTCAGGACTCTGAGGGCTGCTGTACCGCTCAACAGACAGGGAACCGAGCTTGCCCATTTCCTTGACCCTTATTAAGCTGTAAAATGCAGTGTTGACTCTCTTGTCTTTTCCAGCTTGATCCTGACCTCCAACGCCACCCCCAAGCAGAGAGCTGGTCTGACCAGCATTTAGAAACATAGAAGAAACATAAAACATCACCCATTTCCTCTATGGGCTGTGATGTTTACAAGGCTCTGTCTTGTCCCCTGTCTCTAGCAAGTCAGAAAGCTTGGCATGACTTGGTTTCTTAGGACTGGTCTCACCCAGCCCAAGGAGCACCCAGCAAAGTTCTGATTACACAGACGCAGTCATGGTCACTTTGACAGCAATTTCTGAATTCCAAAGTTCATTTTCTTTTCAATTGCATGCCCAACTAAATGCATAAAACCCTGCAAAGTGAGTGTCAAAAAATGTCATCTTTTCTATTTTCAGACTGAAATATGGAGCTCATAAAAGTGAGATGGCCATAAATTTTCACACTTAGGGCTAAAACAAACTGCGACCAGGAAAAACAACACACACCCAGATTTAACAGTGGTGAACAGTTTTTACTCAGGCAATGAAACATGGAAAAAATATATTAGTAATTATCATAATTTCATTTGTGTGAGTATAACTTTTACAAATATTTACCTGACATATAAAAAGGGAAATTACTATGTGTATAAAATCTATGAGGATGCTATCCACACAACACAGTCCTGACAACAGGAGTCAATGCAGCGAGCCCCTCCAGATGAGGGATCCCTCACACATTCGGGGCACCCGTGGGGACACAGTGGAAGCAGATGTGCAATAAACGCTTATCTGTTGGCACATTAGTACAATGGGTATCTACTGGCAAATAAGCTTGCTAACAGCAATACTGAAAACTTGACTGCAACCTCAGAGACTTCAAGAATGCCTGGACCCTGTGCTAAGGGCTGCGCAGGACCAGGCTGAGGCTGCGGGTGTATCTGGATCGATATGACTTCAGAGTTCCAATCTTTTTATGTCCATTTGACATTATTTGTAAGTACAGAGTATCAACTATGGATGTAAGAAGGAAGCACATTTATTGTGCACATTCTGATACCACTGAAGGCAGGGGAACAGAGTGGCATCCTGAATGTTGCCTGGAGACTCGATACAGGGAAGGTTCAGGCCACACCCTGACCCCACACTTGGTCTCCTCTGAACAGTTAAAGCATCACACAGACTGCCAAGGTCAGCATTGCACGCAGCATCTCCGTATTAGTACTAGAACTGGAATATATGTGTTTACACAATAGCTGAAACCATATTATAGTTAATAAAGTCATTCCTTAGGAATCTCGTTTGTCCAAATCTAACTATCTAACTGCATGCTAGTAGGCACAGAAACAGGATTGCATTTGGACAGAAAACTACGAAAAGAGCAATCTTAGTCTCTGCAATGTGAGCTCTGGCAGGAGGGTCTCCCTGGAGTGCAATAGACTTGCTCCTGTACTTCTCCAGAGGAGACCCCAGGGAGAAGAGCCAGCTGTACTAAGCTGTTTACCTCAACTCTCCCAATGAGACTCGCAAGGATTTAGTAGAAAATTGCTTTTTTGTGTGTTTGGTACTGGGGATGGAATCCACAGACTTACACATGCTCAGCAAGTGTGTCACCAACTGAACTACATCCCCAGCCCTGGTAAACTGCTTTTTAAAAATAACTGGAATCTGGAGGCCAGTCAACCCTTTTTTAACTGAAGACTCCTTGAGATAACTTTTTATTATTAAAATTTTTTAAAGAAGATGACTTCTTAGACCTTTGGCTTGGTATTCTGGGATTCCCAGATTATCTGTTCTTTAATAGTAATGGCAAATCGTAATCTATTACCTTTAAAATTCTTTATAATATATACATCTTTAAAATTCCTTGCCTGAATCATTTGCCTTTCAACACCTGGTTTCTTTCTTCCCTATAAGAAGGTAAAGCAAGAAACCTGTGTGGGATCAGCTCACAGGTTACAGGACAACAGAGACCACAGCAGAGGAAGGCTCACAAGAAGCTAATCAACTAGAATAGAAACCCTAAAGAATCAGAAGGGAACTCCAGTGTATTTGCTCCACCAGGAAAATGCATGCTGAGTCTCCCAATGGGGTACAGGCTGGATTTAGCCCCACCGTTGCTAAAACTCCCCATGAGCTACAGGGTAACTCCTCTAGCCTGTGTGCCTCTGCTGAAAGTGGGGGCTTCCATCTGCCACGGGGCCAACCTAGGGATGCCTACTGAACAAGCGTTTGTGCATGGTGGCGCCAAGTCCACATAGGTAGAAAGGCAGCACTGGCTGGAAAGAAAGTTGAGCTAGAGCTATAACCCTAAACGACAGGGAGCCTCTGTACAGCCACGCCACACCGAAGGCTGGCTGCCAGGCCACAGAGGTCGGTATCATCCTGCACTTCTGCGCTGCCTAATTTGGTCTGCTTCTAGGCTGGAATCCACACAAGAGCAGCAGGCTTGTGAGCATTTCCAGAGCTGTCTTACAAAACAAAAAGTGAGGGGAAAGTCACCAGCTTCTAGGAGCTTCTCCAAGCACAGTAAATGTTGGAGGTCTGATTAGAACCAGCTACCTTCTAGTCACACGGTAAACTGGCCAGTTTCTAGTACTGACAAACAAAAGCTATGGACACTTTGGCAAAGTAGGGGCTAAACAAACAATTCTGGACTGAAAGTCTCAACAAGACCACCCAAATCCCCAAACCACGCTCTAAGCCAGTAGCTTCCTCTACTTCACCTTCCGTGATCTTTTCTGTTTTTACTGTTTTTATGGTGTCAGGATCAACATGATGCCTTGTGCGTGGCACACTCTACCACTGAATGAGAGTCCCAGTCCTTAGTTTTTGAAGACAGGACATTACATAACTCAGCCCAGCCTGGAACTCTTGAATTTCCTGCCTTTGCCTCCAGAGTGTTCGGATTGTAGGCATGGGCCAAAATGCCTTAAAAAATAAAAAAACAAACTTCTCAAGGAACAAGTCATTTGGCCCCTACACATGTTGAAGAAAACATTATACTTTTACTCTCCAGAGCTCTAAAAGCTTTTTTTAAAAAAACTTATTTTTAAAGAAAAATAAATATACTTCATTCTGCCTGGTATATTCTCTATGCCAACTGTGTAAACTACATTTTCGTTCTTGCTGGAGCATATCCATCTACTAAGTCAGAAATTGGTGGGCATTTCCTGGTAACAGTGATGATTGACAGGTCACTGGCACGGGTCCTTCATCCCTTTGCAGTAACCTAATTTACCAGGGTCTAGATTTCAAGGGGTTTCTTCTGCCAGAGTACCATCACCTCTTTTGTTTTTTAACCCCAGCATAACATGCTTTAAAGATACACAGTAAGTTTACAGACGACCGGGGGGGAGGGGGGGCTACAGATGTAGCTCCACAGTGAAGCACTTGTCTAGCATATCAAGACCCTGGGCACAATCCCCAGCACTACAAAGTCTTCAAGGAAGAAAAAGAGGTGACTATAGATTTACACTGGAGACCACACTAAGCCTTTCATATTGAAATAGGTCAGAATACAGCATGCACACATGGATACTGTCCAAAGACTGCAGCAAAAACGTCTGCAATGTCTCTCCAAAATGTAAAATTAACTTCCTTAGAGAACGAGAGGAAGGTGGGTATCCTCTCCAGAGACACTTGGACCCGACTGTCTGCTGGTACAGCACTCACATTAAGCCACTGTGACTAACCTCAAAGCCCAAATGGTTGCCAAGCGATTTCTTCAACCACAGATAACTTCTGTTGTTGTTTTTTTTTTTTTTTTTGTACAAAATGTTAAGACAATAGGCCTTACAACACAGCCTGACCTAAGCACCAATTATCATAAATGCATATTGATAAAATAAGACTTCTTCTTGAAAAGACATTACTAACTTCCCTGGGCTATACACTGCTAAATAAATATTTGCTTTTTAAGATCTACAAAGGTTCTCCACGAGGCACAATTCACTGCTGGAGTTGGCTCATGCAATAGTTTTACAAGTAGGAACATATGTGTGGTTGAACACGGTATATATCATCATGAAGACTCTCAGGTGGAAGGTTACCAACAAAGATGTGTTAGAGCTTGGACGAATCTGGCTCTGCCCATCTGTGAAGGAAACTCACTGGCATCAAAACCTGAATTTCCATTTGGGGTTAATGTCCCCAGGCTGAGCTCACAGAATTTCATTTTGTCAGTGTGGACGTTCTCCCTGCAGTGCTCCCCGCCCGACCCCCAGGAATCAAGCCGTCTTTGTTTAAAATATTCTCAGCATGCTGATTTGGAGAGTGATTGACATGTTTTTTTTTTTTTTTACTGCCCATTTTGTTAAGTACGAAAGCATTTTTTGCTTATTTTTTCCTTTCTTTTTTTAGTCTCTGAAGTGTACAATGCTTATAAACATAAAAACAAAGTTTCTTCACCTCCTAACTGGTAATTAGGATAATTAGGTAATTATCTTTTAAATATGATTAAACTTTTCACAAGTCCTTATTTTTGCATATTTCTTTTTTTTAAAAAATATTTTATTATTTTTATTTTATGTGTATGAGTGTATTGCCTGCATGCATGTGAGTGTACCCGTGTTGTAAAATGCCATGGAGGGCTTCGGATTCCCCTGGAACTGGAGTTAAGGACAGTAAGTAGCCACCATGTGGGTACTGGGAATTGAACCCGAGTCCTCTGCAAGAGCAGTCAGTGCTCTTAATTGCTGAGCCATCTCTCCAGCCCCTCAAATGGATAACAAAAGTTGATTTTTTCGTTACCAAATGGAGACAAAGGGGACTAAATGACCCCATGGTAGATATACCAAATCAGCTCTGAGGGAGGCCCTGGCATCTACCCCCGAGAAAGCAGAAATCCATCAAAGCCTAGGGGTGTCCAAATGCTGGGGCAACAAATAGCACAGAACAAGTCTTTCTCAGATGAGAACCTAAATCTATGGTCTTCGTGTCTTTAATCTCCCCACCCACCCCCAAGTTTTGTTTCATTTTGGTTTCTGACTCAACACCTCTGTTGCCTAGTGTCTACAGTGTCCGTAAACTCTGGGTGCAGTGCCTCGGCCTCCTGCCCGTCTTCCCAAGCTGAGCCCATAGGGCTACGCCATCATGCTCAGCCCCCTGCCCCTTTGTAACAGGGTCTCATGTTGTCCAGACTGGGTCTCACACTGGCTACATAGTTGTGGATGACCTTGAACTTCTGATCTTCCCACCTCCACTTCTGGAGTTGCTGGGATTACAGGTATGTGCCACCACGTCCAGTTTTTGTGGTGCTGAGGATCAAGCCCAGGCTTCATGTATGCTACTCTACCAGCTGTGTCCCCAGTCCCCACAAAGTCTCAAGTTGGCATTTGGAGGCAGGGTTCTGTCTGAAAATAGGGTTCTGCACTTATGTAAATACATTCCTCTGTAGAAGCTCTGAATGTGATTCAGGGAAATCAGTAGCACAGAGGGGCACTAAGTAAGTAAAGGGGACAGAGCCTTCTTGTCTACGAACAGTTGGCAACAACGGGCCAAACTGTCTCCTTCAATAAAACTGCCAATGCTGAAAATGAAGATTAAATAGGTTAAAAAACATCAAAGAGCTGGTGGAGGCGACCTCAAACAGCAGTTACAAAGGTGGAAACTTAACAGAGGTGAGGACTACAGATGGCATCACAATGCTGCCGAGGACAGAGTCAGACATCTGGACTCGGCAGCCTGTCAACTGAACCTACCACCTGAAGGGCTGCGGGCTCCCGCTGGCCAGCTGCAGCCAGCGTTGCTTCAGGGCTGTCGCATTGGCAGCGAGACGAGCCAGGCAGCAATAGGCATGTGCTTTTTAAAGCCACTTTTCTCTGCAAAAGAGGGGTTACTTCTGGATAAGGCAAGAACACTGTGGTCACGACAGAAGCAGCCAGTCTCAGATCTGCTGAGCTCAGGGGAGGGGTCTCAGTCAGTCCTTCCCAGCTTTGCGATCAGCTCATCACAAATTTTTGTCAGTTCTTCAATTTCTTGATTCTGAAAAACAGATAATAGGATTATATAGGCCATCCTGTGTTCTGAGACAAAAGCTAGACCCCGCCTAGACACCCGAACTCAATCCTACATCAGAAGTCTCTGAAGAAAGGAAGGCCTCCTGTCTTCTCCCCAGCAGTGTGCTTGTGCTCAGAGTACTAAGCTTATACTGCACTGAGAGAGGTACCGTCGGCTCTCCTGGAGCTGGTGCATAAACCTTAGTTCCCAAACCTCCCTGCTCTCATGTGGGACACTTTCTAAAACACAAACACATGGGTCTCACTTAATCTACCAGCAGCTTCGGGGACTGGGATTCAAGTCTGACTATCTCAGGAAAAGTCTGAGTCAGGACCACCAGGCACCAGGCTCTAACTCAATGGATATCACCAACACGAATGCAGTACAGTAGAAACTGTACTGAGTTTGGCGATCACCAAGAAGGCCTCAGAGCAGCGACCCCCTCTGCTCATTCACAGTATATGTAATTCTTCGGAGACAAGTGTGACACAAATACCCAAAGGAAATGATTTGCAGAACTGAAAAGCATCTTGTGACTGAGGGATTAGGATCAGACATGCACCATAGAGCTCATCATTTCCTCTGAGAGGCGCCTACCAGTCTGGAATACCCTTCACCAGCCTCCATAACGCACTCCTAACTCAGCTTCCCAGCAGATGGACTTTGGACATGAGCCCTCTCCCTTCTCGGGCTGGATTTTGGATGAGGCTGCCTTCCCTGCCTCAGCACCTACCTCTCTGCTTCACTTGCATGTCTGACAGCAAGCAACCAGTCTTAGTCCTGTGACACTGTTCCTGCTCCTAACTTCTCAGGGTTAGTCACGGTGGTCTCTCATTCAGGGGCTGTCTGTGCATCATGGGATGCCTGGCAGCATTTCTGGCCTCTACCCACTAGAGTTACTAGTGTCCCTCAGTCATGACAGCCATTAGTCTCCAGACATTGCCTAATGGCCCCAGGAGGACAAAATTGCTCTAATTGAGAACTGATGATATACAGCAATGAAAGGGGAAGGGTTCGTGCACTGCACTAAAAACACACAGGGGGAATGAAAAGCAGCCTTGTGACCCTGACTAAGAAGTATTGGGTTCCCTGAACTTCAGTTAAAGCACAGCTTCCCCTCTGGACCCTGCCTGTGGATGACTCCCATACAGCATGTCTGTCTCATGAGTCAGTTCACAAAGGCTGTGGATCAGTGCCTCAGTAAAAAGGCCAGGTCACCTTCCTCCAGATCCATGATAAGCTAAGTAGACAGACATGTCACCAAGGAAGAGAGCAGCCATGTCTCCAGATGGACTAGAAGTGCCCTGCCATGACAGACAAACCCCATGTACCTTCTGCTGAAGGGCCCTTTCCAGGGACTCCACCTTCATCTGCTCTTTCCGGAGTCCAGCGTGGAGAGCCGCACTCTCTGCCTTTGCCTTTGCGCGAACCTGAGCAATCTCTTCACTGGCTCTGTTACGGTGGTTTTTGTTTGTAGGAAAGACAAAATGCACATGGTCAGCAGGCAAAGACGCAGGATACTAACTACTGACTTCCACGAAATACAGATTCATAAGGACTGACTCCATGATCAGAGGAAGGACAAGAGGCAGTGACTCACAAAATTAAACTTACATCAAACTGCTACGGAAATTCCTACAGCACATACCAATGGCAGGACCAAACTCCAGGACTGCAACAGCCTTTACAAGTTCTATTTCATGAGAAAGTGAAATCACCTGTTTTTATAACAATTAATTTGCAGTAAAGACTCTAGTAGAATGGTGGGCTGGCTCATCCATGATCGTATAATGGTGGAGTCGTTCTACAAATTTTGTTTTTCACTTAATAGTGTACAAAGGTCATTACACATTAAACTACATACATCAACCTCTTTTATTAGACTGCAGAGCTAGAACACTTCTTAACTGATGGGTATTTATCATATACACTGGTTGACACTTTTTCCCATTGTGAATAGCATTGCACTAAACACAATCAAGATACTGATGTCTGTTAATCACAACCCTCAAAGAAGTGCCTTTGCTGAGATGCCAGCTGATTAACATCCAGTTAACTGATGAAAAGATGCTAAAATCTTACCAGCAGTAAAAGACATGCAAACTAAAATGATAAGCTTTTTTACATGGTGTATGTTGGGGATTTAACACAGGGTTCTGTGCACAGTAAGCAGGTACTCTTTCACTGAGTACTCTTGCAGACCCAAAACAATGAAATTTAAAAATCTGTCAGATTGGCAAAAATGAACCAGAATGGTTCTGTTCTGTGTTGACCAAGAATACAAGGGAAAGGCAGGATCACACGGTGACAGGAGAGATGGAAACCACCATTGTCTCCATGTGGGGCTTAAGTGTGGTGACCAGGACAATTTAAAATACACACATTTATGGCTCAGTAATTCCACTTTTAGTTAACTATCCACAGAAATACTCTGTTCTTTGTGTGACACTCTTCTTAATGAAAAAGAAAAATGCAAAGAAATATCACAGCCCTACAATCTACTAAAAGAATTAGACTGAGCTACATGCTGTGGCATGACTTTGATAGGCTACTAAGTAAAAAAGGAAATGTGGAATTAGGATTGATATATACTTCTTAAAAGTCCCAAATCATTCAGGGTAGTATTATATAAAGGCAAAAGAAAAGACAAGGGGCTGGAGAGATGGCTCAGTGGTTAAGAACACTGGCTGCTCTTGCAGAGGACCTGGTTCAGTTCCCAGCACCCACATGGGGGCTAACAACGATCTGTAACTGCAGTTCCAGGGGATCTGACACCTTCTTCTGACCTCCGTGGCACTGTACATGAGTGAGCTTACACACATGCAGGCAACACACTCATACGCATAAAATAATAAATAAAATATATTAAAAAAAGAAAAGACAAGGACATGTAACCAATCTCTACTAAGAGGACACACAAGGGTAGAAGGGAGAGAAACACATGCCTACAGACGGGAAAACACATCACAAGATGCACACACTGTGTTACTTTCAGTTAAAAAACTAAGGTGGGAGCCAGGCATGATGGCACACACCTTTAATCTCAGCACCTGGGGGCAGAAACAAGTGGATATCTGTGAGCTCAAGGCTACTCTGGTCTACATAGCAAGTTCTAGATCAACAAGTGCTACACAGTAAGATCCTGTTTCAAAAAAAAAAGGAAGAGAAGGAGGAGGAGGAGACAAGGAAGAGGAAGAGGAGGAGGAGAAGGAGGAAGAGGAAGAAGAGGAGGAAGAGGAGGAGGAAGAGGAGGAAGACAAGGAGGAAGAGGAGGAGGAAGAAGAGGAGGAAGAAGAGGAGGAAGAGGAGGAGGAAGAGGAGGAGGAGGAGGAGAGGACAAGGCGGTGGCCGCCACTCCTGGAGTAAATTTTCTAAAACGTATCACTGGACTTATGGATTGAAAAACATCAAGCCATTAAAGCACCAGAAGGAAAACCTGAGGGATATTTCCACCTAGAACAGGGAAGCTTTTTATTGCTGTGACAGAAGATGCAAAGGCTACAAAATGAGTAAATGATACTTTACTGCACTGAATTCCTTTTCTGAGCTGGGCATAATGGCATATGCCTGCAAATTCAGCACTCGGGGGCCAAGGCAAGTTAAAGCAAGTTCAAAGTCAGCCTGGGCTATACAGCAAGACTCTAACTCAAAACACAGAAACAAAACATATTTCTATGTATCAAAACCACTGTAAGGCTGGGGATAAAGGCCTGTGGTAGAACTCTTGCCTAGCAGTGTGGAAGGTGGGTTCAATCCCCAGCACTGCAAAGCAAACAAGACACACATACACACACACACACACACACACACACACACACACACAACCGCGTGCACGCCCTTCATAAACAGGGACAAGATAAATTTTAGTCACAATTCATAGTGAAAAGGGCTAGTGTCCTACTATATGAAACACATAAAGTTACAAGAGGCAAAGTGCAAAGAACAGTCAAACATAGTCAGGTAAGTGTTTAAGTAGATAACTGATGAACTACATTTAATTTTACTAAGAAAAATGCAAATGAAAACTACCTTGAATAAAAGAAATGCTCCTTGCCAAAACTCAGAAAAACTTACACTGAAACCATTTCCCCTTCTACATTCAAAGATAACGTAAAGTCAGCCGGTTGGCGAGCCTGTAGGGAAACATGCGCTCGGACTTTGGATCAGGTGTACGCTGATTAAGTATAATGGTGTCAATTCGACAACATTCACCATAAGTACAAATCCATGTACTTTTTGGCCTCCAAATTCCTCTCCTTTTATGAGAAGGGTAAGTCACAGGATGCACACAAAGGATAACCCACAGCAGTACTCACTACAGCACCTTCTGTAAGCAAAGATTTTCAGTAGCCATAATGACCAGCAGGAGCTGGCTGCTCAAATGAACACCTCTGACAAATGCCAGGAGGATGCTCCCTGTGGACGTGGGAGGATTCCCAAAGAAATGCCAGGAGGATGTTCCCTGTGGACATGGGAGGATTCCCAAAGAAATGCCAGGAGGCTGCTCCCTGTGGACATGGGAAGAGTCCCAAAATCATACTGTTATGCCAAAAAAATTAAAACGAAGGGGGAAGCATGTGTGGATAAGGAAACATACAGACTAACACTGATCACCTAGGGGTAAAAAAGGGAAACGGGGAATGGTGAAAGGGGCATGTGCTGGATGGCACTGGCTGGCGACCTGGCACACAGGGCATGGGGACCTTCACTTGGGGACTCTCCTCTATACACTGGCCTGTGTCCACATCTGTGAGGCATTTTCTTGATTGTTGAGCGATGTGGAAGGCCCAGCTCACGGTGAGTGGTGCCACCCCTGGGGACGTGGTCCTGGGTCGCATAAGAAAGCAGGCTGAGCACAGGCTGGAGGGGCAGCCAGTGAGCAGCGTTCCTCCATGGTCTGTGCTCCAGCTCCTGTCTCCAGTTCCCTCACTGATGGACTGTCACTTGGAAGAGTAAGGCGACAGTAAACCCTTTTCTCCCCAAGCTGGTTTTAGTCGGAGTGCTTCATCACAGTCATAGAGGAGCAAACCAGGACAGGACAGGGGTAAGAGGGACATACTATGTACATCGGTGGCTTTTTGTACTTTTTAATGTTTTAATCAGACAAAGAACATGATGGAAAAAATGAAATAAAATACACACAAACACAAACTTGGAAGTTGTAACAGTAAGTTTTTGTTTTACAAGCAGAAATACAAACAGCAAAAGGTACAGGTATGTATTGCTTTAAAAAAATATATATATTATTTATTATTTTTATTTTATGTGTATGTGTGTATTACCTACATGCATATAAGTGCTGTTGGATCCCCTGGAACTGGAGTTACGGTAAGTTGTTAGCTGCCATGTGGGTGCTGGGATTCGAACCTGGGTCTTCTGCAAGAACAGTCAGTGTTCTTAACCGCTGAGCCATCTCTCCAGCCCCAGGTATGTATTACTTTTTAGATTAAAAAAATAAAGCTTCTGGGGATGGAGAGATGGCTCAGCAGTTAAGAGCAATGACTGCTCTTGCAAAAGGACCCAGTTTCAGTTCTCAGCACCCACATGGTAGCTAACAGCTGTCTGTAACTCCAGTTCCAGGAGATCCAACACCCTCTTCTGGCCTCTGTGGCACTGCAGGCATGTGATACATATACATACATGTAGATAAAATGCCCATACACAAAAAATAAAAATAAATAAATCCCCCAAATTAATTAATTAAAGCTTCTGTCTCTCACCCCCGACCAGCATCATGACAAGTGAAATTCAAATGCGTGAGCTCTTACTTGTCCAGCTTTTCCTCTGCATGAGTTTTCAGGGCCTGGTATCGCTGCTCTTCTTGTTTAACTCTGGCTAAATAATCCTGGGCACATTTTTTCAAGGCTTCTTCATTCTATTTCAACGGGAAAATTAAAAACAGATATGTATTTTTCTTACACCATGTATCAGAAGTTTCATTTTGTAATGGGAAAGCCCAATTAATTGAGATGTATGTGATTTATAATACATGGTAACTTGAACAGGTACATGCAATTCTCACTGAAGAGATTTTACATAATTTCTTCCTGTCCCAATCTGCAACATCACACAGAGTTTAGTTTTCCAATACAACTTCTTTCTTAATGCCCACATCAGATAAACTAGCCGGTCACATCTTTATGTGTTGATTTTTGTATTTTTGGTTTTCTAAGACAAGGCTTCACTACTTAGCCCAAACTGGCCTTGAATTCTGCAATCCTCCTGTCCTGGGCTTTTCAGTGTTAGGCGTACAGGCCTATACTATCATTTTAATTTTAACATAAAAACAAAGAATTTCAAGGGCTAGGCATGTAGCTCAGTGACAGAGCAGTTGCTTAGCACATACAAGGTCCTGCACTAGACCCACCAAAAAAAAAAAAATTCCGTAAGTATCTTATTGATAGCATACAACTAAATGATTACATTTTGTTTCTTTTATAACACATACACAGCCTGGATTTTTTTCAGTGAACTAAGATCATATCTACCTTTACTAACATCAAAAAGGTGAATAATGAAAAAGAACATTTCTATAATTCTCCTACAGTCTGAGGGCTCCCGTTCCTGTACTCTAACCCATACTCTGGTCGTGTCTGGGGTTCACGGGCTTTATCAAGTAAAGGAATACCCAAGGCACACCACCCCACAAGCCAGCTGCTGGAACAACTTCCAGAAAAAAATAATTAATTAATTAAATGAATAAAAATAAATAAATAAATAAATGGATGGAAAACCAGCTCCACTGGAATGGAAAGTCAACACGACCCACCATGCCAAGTCTTACAAAAAAGGCTACAGAGCACTCTGACACTGGTGGTTGGGCTGTTGCCAAGAAAGCACATCAGCAGGCAGGAGACGGAGCCACGAAGGACGCGCTACCTTCTTGAAACCCTCCAGTACACCTTTCAGGTTTTCATATCTCCTGAAGAGATCAGAAAGGGACCTTTCCACGGAGTTCAGGTCAGCCAGGGCCTGCTCCTTCTCCATGGTCAGCTGCTGGAAGCTCTTCTGAGAAGTCCTATTTGTCCTCTGCTCGTCTTCTAGGAATCACAAGTCAAAAGGAGCAGCTTATTTAGTAAGCAGAGCTAATCACTACACTCAGTGAGCCAAGGAGTGTTCTTGGTGGTGGAGGCCCAACCTGGGTGCAAAAAATTCCCACCTTCAAGGACTTACAATCTATTGAGAGGACACATACAGTGACAAGAGACAGGGATCTAAGTGGGGTGAGAGAGGGGCCAAAGGTCAGACTTGGTGTTCAAAAAGTGGCCTCTCCAGAGAAGCAAAGGAAGCAGAGACTCAGGGAGAGCTGAGAGGAGCACTGCAGCTCTGGAGAATACTTGGCATAGCGCAGGCAGACCTGGCCAAGGCCAGGCCAGAAGGCTGTTGGCGATGAGGGCACTGTAAAGTATCTTTTCGGTACTTAAATTCTGGAAGATCAGAACTGATTTGATTTAAGGAGTCAATCTTTAGACTAGTGACAAAAAGAACCTCTAAGTTTCAGGGGCATCAGTCGTGTTACTTTGTAAATTCAGCAATGGGTCTGATGGAGGGAAATCAGAACCTGCAGTGAAGTAACATACTATATCAAAACAAATGACTCCCAAGCATGGTGGTACATGCCTAGAAGGACATAATAATCCAAGGGGAGGTCATGGATTCAGAGACTGGGGGTGGGCATGGTGGGACTTGGAGGAGAATGACAATGGGCTGGGAGTGATGTAAATACAGCTCTCATGTATGAAATTCTCCCAAAAAAATTTTTAATTGCGCGGGCTCGCGCGCGCGGGACTTGGAGGAGAATGACAATGGGCTGGGAGTGATGTAAATACAGCTCTCATGTATGAAATTCTCCCAAAAAAATTTTTAATTGCGCGGGCTCGCGCGCAGAGAGAGAGAGAGAGAGAGAGAGAGAGAGAGAGAGGAAGGAAGGAAGGAAAGCTAGAACAGAAAGATGAGCACTGAAAGTTCTCAGCAGACTTCATGGATGTCAGTGGCAAGCAGTGGCCACTGGAGGCTGGGAAAGGTCGTGGGCTGGGGCAGACAGAAGAAGGCTGGAAAATGAGCCCCAGAATGCACTCTACAGCAAAGCCAGGTGACTCCCACTTACCAGAATTATGGATTTATAAAGAACTAGAAAGAACACAGGAATTTGAACATTACCAGAACAAAGAAATGACCAATGTCTTTTTGTTTTGTTTTGTTTGTTTTGAGACATGATCTCACTATGTGACCCTGGCTGACCTAGGACTCACTATGTCAAGCAGGCTGGTCTCAGACTCACAAAAATCCACCTGCCTCTGCCCGAGTGCTGGGCCTAAAGGTGAGCAGCCAGCTTGAAATGCTGAGGAGGCAGAAATGCTAAGTATATTGACTTGATGACTGCCCCTTGTCTTCATGTATGATTTACCACACTGTTCCCCACAGTATGTACAATTACCATGTGTCACTTTAAAAACCAAAGAGAGTAAGACCCCAGAGAGCTAGCTAGCCCCTTCAGCCGTAATGTCATGATGTGGGAAGGCACCAAGAGGAACAGTTCCTTCCACACAGACCTGCCAGAGCTTTGACCTAGGCCTCCCCAGATTCCCAAACTGTAAAGAAACAAATGTTTGTTGTCTATAGACCACTAATCTATTGTTTATTGTCATGGTAACCTGAACAGACTAAGACAGGCTTAATGGCTCATGCTTAAAAAGAAGCCTTTTTCCTTACCAATCATTTGAGCAATGGTCTTTTCATATTCAGCCACAATTTTCCTAAATTAGAAAAAATAGTTTGTTATCAGAGAATACTTTTAAACAATAGAAGCCAGAGAAATATTGTCCCAAGCAAATTCATTAACATATGATAACACATTTATATAAATCATTTATTTTTTTACTAAAGTTCAGAAAGATTTTATATATATATTTGGTCTTTTTTTGAGACAGAGTCTTTCCCTGAAGCTCCAGCTGGACTGGAACTCATTATGCAGACCAGACCGGCCTTGATCTCACAGAGCTCTGTCTGCCTCTGCCTCCCAAGTGCTAGGATTAAAGGCCTGAGCCGCCATATCCGGTCTAAAGATTTATATTCTTGATGCAAAGAAAAGAGAGAAGAAAAAACAAAGGAAAGAAAAATAAGGTTTATGTCTTTTGTGGTGTTTTTGTTTTATGGTGCTAGAAACTAAGCTCAGGTCACACACAAGCTAAACATGAGTGTACTAACCTCTGAGCTACATCCAAAGATTTTTACAGTTTTATATTTAAGAAGCTGTCCTGATTAATCCCTAATTGTTAATTTGACACAATTTAGAGTCACCCAGGAAGATGGAACCTCAACTGAGGAATTTCCCAGATCAGACTGGTCCCTGGCCATGTTTGTGAGAGACTGAGGTTGATGATCAAGAGGCTATATAAGAAAGCTAGCAGAAATCAGGGCGTGGTGGCACATGCCTCTAATCCAAGCACTCAGGAGGCAGAAGCAGGAGGATCTCTCTGGGAGATGGGGGCCAGCTTGGTCTCCACGGTACGTTCCAGGCCAGCTGGGGCTACAGGGGAACCCTGTCTCAAAAAGAGAGGGAAAAAAAAAAAAAGAAATCTATTAACTTTGTGTTCTGTTACTATGCTTTTTATAATGCACTTGGTACTTATGTATTATAAAGACACCTCCATCACTGACTATATTAATCTTCTTTCTCTGTATTCCAAATGGATATTTTCATACAGATTTTTGTTGATTCTTTAAAATGACAAGAATTGTGTGAATTCTGTTTACATGTGATAGTCTAAATAGTCCAAAAAAGCTGTAGCATTTGAATAAATAACTAGTCAGCACTAATGCATGCGATGACATTCTTATCTCAAAGTGCTGTGCAAAAAGCAAAAAGCCCTCAAGCTCCCAGTGGTTTTCTAACTGGAAACAGTCCTGCGTTAAACCGACAGCGCACAAAGGCACCCAGAGCCCTGACGCCCGCTAACCTCATCTCCAGGACTTCCTGGCGGGTCTCCTCATATTTTTTCCTCCATTCATTTGCTTCAGTCTCTTTGGTGATTATCTAGATTGCAAGAGAGCTTGATTTTACTAATCGATCTATTACAGTTTGAATTTATGATTAGAAACAGAAAATAACACATGACCAAGTTGGACTCAAGACACTGAGCATTTAGGAAGGTAGTACCTCAACAATTGTACATAACACTCCCAAACATTTCAAAAAGCGCCCTCTCATCCAACTAGGATCATGGAATATAGCTATCATCAGGGTAAGGGTGAACACAACTGCTCCCTAACATATAAACAGTTACAATTCCTTTGGTTTGGTTTTAATTTCTGGTTTATTTTGAGACAGAATCTTACCATGTGCCACCCTTAGACTTGGGATTCTTCTGCCCCAGCCTCTCAAGTGCCAGGATTTGCAGGCACATACCATCACACTCAACAGCACTTTTTTTTTTTTTGTCTTTTTGACAAAACCCAGCTGGCTATATAAACCAGGCTGGCCTAGATCTCACAGAGCTCCGCCTGCCTCTGCGTCCTGAGTGAAGAGGTGAGAACAAGAAAGTTTTTACCTCTTCTCTTATCAAGGTGAGCACAGCAATCTTATCGGCTTCGCTAAGGCAAATCCCATCCAGGGGGCTCTCACCACCACAGGCCACAGACACAGGGGCTTTTTCTGAAGAGGGCTCCAACAGTCCCTGTGGGAAAGGGGTTGCATTTAATATAGTTAATCTTCAGCTACTTTACCCCAAAATTCCTCTACAATTTCCTCATTACAAAATCTATCAGACCCTTTAAAAATCTCTTTTCAGAAGAAACAGCAGGAGGGTGACTTTAAATAAGCAACCTAGTTACAATACTATAAAGAAAAATGGTTCCAATGAGTACCACAGTAGTCTTGGGTTTGTGGAACAGATAACCTAGAAAAGTTTTTGTCTTATAAAAAGCGGGGGGGAACACCATAATTATCAAGTGGTCAGTTACCAAAAAAATTACAAGCTAAAGGGACCTGGGAACAATCCCAACCTCAAATTGTGTGTATAGTTGATAAGTTACTGATTTATAGTTAGTCCATTTTCTGCTATCATATTTCAGCTGAGACTAAAGAGAGTCCAATGTAAACTTAGACCGGTAGCTTTTAAACTTTTCTGGGTCACTGTAGCTTCATACTCTCTCTAAATGTTCAATACACACATGTAATTTTAGCATATATCTTTACAGACCTTAGCCATGGCCCAATTTATAAACTTAGTCACAGAAAAGGGAAATACCAAAGCAGTGTCCATTCCAGCAGCACGGGGTGGAAGGGGTCTACCCAGAGCCTGTCTCTATCCCTAGAGCTGGAGGGCACTTGCAGGGGCAGCCTCTAACACAGTTCCCCCTAGTCCCCAACTCCAAGTACTAATCTCTGTGTAATCACATTTTAGGTGGAGACTGCAATCAGTGACTCACTAGGACATGGCAATAATCATGGATGTCATTTCTGAGAGTACACCACTTAGTCTCTGGCGTCTATGTATGGAGATACTCTATGGAAAAGCCCATGTGGAAAAGAACTTGTGTGTCTGCCAATAACCATGTAAGCTTGGTGCAAATCCACCCTAACTTAAGCCTAAAGATGACTTATAGTTCTGTTCAATACATCGATCAAGAGAGGCCTTGAATCAGAGGACATGGTAAAACTGCCCTGAGATTCCCAACTCACAGAACAACGAAGTAATTAATGCCTGTTTCTTATTTTAAGCCATTGAGGATTTGGAATAATCTGCAAGAGACAGAGAGCCAACATACTCCTGGACAGTGGAGCCATCACATTAACTTCCTGTGTCCAGTTTCCTATCAAGGAATTTGCAGGGGGTAGGGGAGGGCTGGAGAGATGGCTCAGCAGTTAAGAGAACTAGCTGTTCTTGCAGAAAACCCAGGTTTGAATCCCTGAACCTACAAGGCAGCTAACAGTGATCTATAACTCCAATTCTAGGGGTTCTGATACCCTCTTCTGTCTTTTGTAGGCACTGCATGACACAGGTGCACTTACATACATGCAGGCACAACACTTATATATATAAAATACAAATAAATAAAATTTTTTTAAAAAGAAGAAACTTTCTTGGGCTAGGGCTGTGGCTCAGTGTTAGAGCACTTGCCTAGCAAGCTCAAGGGCCCAAGCCTTAGCCATACACCCCCCCCACACACACACCACACACCACCACATACACACACATACCACATACACACACCACACACACACACACCCCCCCACACACACACCACACACCACCACATACACACACATACCACATACACACACCACACCACACACACACACACACACACACACACACACACACACACACTTTCTCACCAGCTAGCTTCCGCTATAACTCACCTAAAGCAGATAACACACTGGGTCAGGTTGACGTATTTTACTTTTCCAATTCTAATTTAATACATTTCACAATTGGTCTTTTGTGAGTTCTTATTATTTTACATCGAGTCGAGTCCTCAAGCCTAGGAAACAGCTTTTCTGTGTCTCCCATGACCATCATGTTAGCAAGAATTTGGGAAACAAACCTGAATTTCACATTTCATTTGTGGAGGGGATGACTGAGTTCAGTCTGCCTGCTTATGTCACAGCTCAGTGCTAACATGTGCTGTCTTTTAAAGGCAACATTGAGCTGGAGGTGAAGAACAGGCTGTGGCTGCTAGTTGATGCGCTCAGGCAAGAGGCTCCAAAGCTGCTCGCTCACTCCTGGCCACACGCTACAAGCCTCACCATTCAAAATGCAACAATTCTTATGAAGTGACCAGGGCAGAGTTTATGCTATGGTCCATTTTAGTTAACTTTTCCAATCTTTTAGGTTTAAAATTTTATATTACTTAGCCCCCATTATTGGTTATCAGTACTGAAAGTCCACAGACTCTGCCCTTACACAGACCTGACCAATCTCTTTTAGGACTGGGCCAGAATCCACTGCATGTTGAATAAAAATGCTTGATGCCCTCTTTGAGTGCTATGCATGACACAGGTGCACTTACATTCATGCAGGCCATACACTAATACACATAAATTTTTTGTTTTAAGTAAAATAAATCATTAAAAAAGACTTCTTAAACCAGGCGTGGTGGCGCACACCTTTAATCCCAGCACTCGGGAGGCAGAGGCAGGTGGATCCCTGTGAGTTCAAGGCCAGCCTGGTCTACATAGTGAGTTCCAGGACAGCTGAGGCTAGCCTGTTCAAGTTCCAAGCCAACTGATGCTATAGGGAAACCCTGTCTCAAAAAACAGAAAAAAAAAAAAAAAGAAAGAAGAAAAAAGAAAAGAAAAGAAGATTTCTTAAAAAAAAAAAAAAAGATGTGCTGTGCCCTAACTGCACGTGTAACTGTGCTGGGAAGGAAGAGGAGACTGGGCCCTTCTCCCTTTCAGCCAACTTGGCCTCACACGTTTGTCTCAGCCACACCCACCACGCCAGGCACAAGACTGTGTCAAGAATTCATGTAACAGAGAGAGGTTAACAACATCACATTACAGTTCTTTACTTGGCACATTAAAGACCAAGATTCTTTTCCCTTCTGTAGTGCTGGGGATGGAACCCATGGGCCTTGCCCTCGCTAGGCAGGACTCTTCCACTAAGGTACACTCTCTCAGCCTTTAAATGGAAGTTTCTTTATATAATGTCAAATTAACACTCTAATATTAATTTATGCCAGAGTTTACGTGGGATCACTTTAAAGAGGTCACACAGAAGATACATTGCTCCCACACCTTGTCACAGCTTGGATCCTTCCATGTTGTCATTCCCTTTCGCCCTCACAACTCTCTACTGAGGCAGTCAGGTGGTGCTCATTTTATGGATGAATACATTAGTAATCAGGAAGTTTCCCTTTGTTTCAAGAACTGGGTGAATCATCCGCAGCTACAGCCACACAGATGAGCGCTTCATCTACTCAGCCCCCTCTCCTCCCATCACCCATTCTCCATCTTTACACAGAGAAGATGCTAAGAAGTACTCTTGATGCACTTGGAAACCTTTAAGGAACTGGTTCCCGAACCATAAAGCAGGCTGCTCTGGTAATGGTGCAGTCTCTTCCTCTCGCAGGATGGAGCAGAACTGCCTCTCCCACAGATGAGGAAGCCGAGGCTTGAGTCCTCACCATGGCTGCACCAGGATCAGATGCCCTAACTCCCTAGGAAGCTGAGCACTGAGTTTTCTAAGCCAAGGTGATTTCTGTGTGAAAACAAATACCACTGTGTGTGAGGCCCCGGTGGGAGGACAATGCTTCGGTTCCTCATGTGTTGTATGCGTTCTGCCTTCCAACTTCCTGCCGTGCTCCTAGCTTCTGAGGTTAGGCATCTAAATCCTCTAGGGAAATACCGTGGTCATGGCTCAATAGTGAACACCGAAAACAATTTAGTGGCACAATCTATCCTCCACTCAAATGAGATTATTCTCAATTCCTTATAAAATATGTATTTTTCTCACTGTCTCCCTTTGTGCAAACCAACTCTCCTGCCCGAGTGTGCTCTCATACCCGATCTATCTGGAAACCTTTCTTCCTTTAACACTTATCCCCCCTCTCCCAAAAACCCCGACAGGTACCTCCTTCACCAAGTGGTCAAGGTTACCTCCACCAATAAAGACACACTGATACCCACATTACCACTTCTGTTTCATCTGTGCTAGAAACAGATAAACTGAACTTAATTGTAGAGATACATTAGAGGAACCCAAACTGACAGACATTCTATAAAATAAATGGCCCAGGGGTTGGGGAGATGGTTCAGTGGTTAAAGGTACTTGTTGCTGTGCAAGCACGCAGACTGGAGTTTGGACACCAGAACCCACATAAATGCCAGGTGGGTAAGGCCATTCCAGTGTAATTCCAGCCTTGCAAGATGGAGATACGGACCTGTAGACCAAGCTCGCAGACTAGCCATAGTGTGAGGTCTGACTGAGAGAAAAGGTGGAAGAGAGGTGGAATAAGATTCCTCCTATCAGTCCTGGGCCTTCACAGGCACATACGCACACACGTGCTCCCACATACATGCAAACATGTATGCACACACATACACATGAAAAGAAGAAAACAACTAGCCAGCACCCTTCAACGCTGCTGAGGCACTCCAGACAAGGACTGAGGAGCCCTCACAGAGAAGCCATGACAACTAAACGTAGTGTAAGGGCCTGACACAGAATCTGTACCCAGAAAAAAGACTTTAGTGGAGCAGTTATAAAAATTGAGTAAGTTTCACATATTAGGTACCAGCACGGCATCAGTGTTAAGCACATTAGCCATTTGGGCAACTGTACTGTAATTACATAATGCTAACATTTAAGGAAAGTGGATGAAAGATACATAAGAATCCTTTGAACTCTTTTTGTAAGTCTAAAGCTAAGTGAAAATGAAGAATTTAAAAGATTTTATTTCAATTATCTCAGAGTAGCCTTACTGAACCTGCCATATAGCTGGTGAGCACTAACTCCCACAGCCCCTGGGAGACATTCCACTATAGCATCTGCCGCACAGTATTGATGGTTTGCATTTCATATCTACTTTCAGTACAGAAATATACTGCAAGCCATATGCAATTTAAAGTTTTCTGCTAGCCACAAGATAGTAAAAACCAAATAAAACTCATTTTAATCTGGAGTCTAGACTGGCTTAGTACTGGCTAAGCACTAGGTTGGTCTTGAACCTGGGGCCATTTTCATGCTTCAGCCTCCCAAGAACTGGGATTACAGATGTGAGCCAGCATGCCAGGCATCATTCATTCATTCATTCATTCATTCAGAGACAGGGTCTCCCTGTACCACCCCAGCTTGCCTGGACTCACTATTGAGACCATGCTGGCCTTGATCTCAGAAAGACCCACCTGCCACTGCCTCCCGAGTGCTGTGATAGGTGTGCATCACCACACCCTGCCTAATGTTTGATGAATTATTTACAGATTCTTTTTTAAAAAATCTTTTTGAAAGAGGGTCTCTCTGTAGCCCCAGCTGGCCACACATCTCACAGAGATCTACCTGCCTCTGCCTCCTGATTGCTGGGACTTAAAGGTGTGTGCCACCATGCCGATTTTTTTGTTGTTGTTTTGGTTTTTTGTTTTTTGGCCTGGCTTTAATTTTAATAGTATAGTTTAGTTTCTCTTGGTAGTAGTCAACATAAAAAGTTATTGAGACATTTATTTAATATGCCTTTTTCGGTGTACTGTCTTCAAAAGCCGGTTGTATTTCACATACACAGGATGTGCTGGATAGCTTTAGTATCAACTTGACACATCTGGGTTGAAGGAGCCTCAAGGGGGGAATTGTCTCTATTGAACTGGCCTGTGGCCATGTCTGAGGGGCATCTTCTTGATGAGTGATGTGGGAGGGCCCAGCCCACTGTGGGTGGTGCCACCCCTGGGCAGGTGGGCCTGTGTTGCATAAGAAAGCAGGCTGAGCAGGGGCCAGGGGAACAAGCCAGTAAGCAGCGTTCCTCCATGGCCTGTGCTCCAGCTCCTGCCTCCAGGTTCCTGCCCTGAGTTCCTACCTTGGGCTCCCTGAATAACTACAACATGGGAGATGTAAGCTGAATAAACCCTTTCCTCCCCAAGTTGGTAGTGATCAGAGTGTTTTGTCATAACAACGGAGAAACAAACTAGGACATAGGACATCTCAATTCAGACTAGCAACAGTTCAAGTACTCAACAGTCACATACGGATAATAGCTGTTGTACAGAATACTATACGTAACTGTTAGCTCTTCAAATGAAGAAATGATTCATAATATATATGCATGTATGTGACTGTACCAGGGCATGCATGAAGGTCACAGGGTTTTGTGAAACTGGTGGGTCCCAGGGGTCAGGTTCTGGCAGTCAGGCTTGTGTGGCAAGCACCTTTACCTGCTGAGCCATCTTTAGCCAGACCCCTTTTCTGACCATCACTTAACAGTAACCAGAATTTATTTAACAAATTAGTGTGGGCTTCAAAAGCAAATGCTAAACCCTGAGCCTCACCTCCTCCGTCCAAGCACGAGAACTTACAAGCACAGCAGACCCGTCTTTCTCCATCTTCTGGCACGTCTCTTTTTCTAACCCTAAAGCAGAGAAAGTCATCCTTATAGTAATCCAAATAAGTGATTCCTTTGTTCCCAGTGAAAAACAGGGAAACCTGATACATGCCCAGAATGACTGAACACACAGCATTTCAAGATTTTTAGGAGGAGCACTGGCATTCTGTTCAACTCCGTTTGGTTAAAAGTCCGTAAGTTTCAGAAGAAACAGGCATGCTTAGTTAGCCACTACCAGTCAAACCTCGGGCAGAGGGGCAGGCCTGCCCCCTTGTGCCCAAAGTTGAGCACAGGAGCTGCACTCACTGGGATTATTTCAGAGAGGGAATTCAAGCGAGGAAAACGACACTGAACACTCTTTTATTACGATGTCTGAGTACGCTGAAATTCTAGCTCAGAAGAGCGTCTCCAATTTAATTAATGCAGCAGAGAAAATGAAAATAAGCCTTTAAATTCAAGTCTGGAAAAACTAAGTTTGTTTTCTTTCCCACACCCTTCCCTTCACTTTCCTTATCAGCAGGTGATGTTCAAAACAGAACATACCCCTGCTGGAAAATTTAAACATAGAAAAGCATACAAAACATTAAAGCTAAAAAGCTTCATATTGCGATAACTAAATATTATTTTAGTCAACAGTTACTACAAACAAAAGTGTGACCACCATACCCCTACTCGAACCCCTCAAAGCACCTCCAAACCTGTGAGCTACAATTCCACTCCCTGTCTGTCCCAGACTCACAGAAAGCCAGTGGGCATTTTACCAACATGGTAGGTTCCCTCCTATCACTGTGTGGTATCTTCATTCTTTGAAGAGTAACTATATACAGACCCAATCAAGCTCTCCCTCCACTATCACCCTCTCCAGGACACAGATTGATGCCTGGTACCAGTGCCAGGGATGACATTCTGCCTATAGCCATGGCCTCTGCTTGCTCCTTTGAAAGAGCCGACTGATTACAGTGAAATGGTTCATTTAAATCTGTTGGTCCCCAAAGCCAACTGGCCTGTTTACTAGCTTTGAGGGCAGCACTGCATCTAGCAGAGCCCTAGCTCTTTACAACCCCATTCAAGGAAGTGCCTCCAGGGAGGAGGACTACATTTCAACAAACATTTCCCATGTTACTGTAAGAGAGGAAACCCAGACACATCTCTCACAGTCCCCGACCTTGTGACAGTTACATTGTCGCCCCTTCTACAGTGAGTATGCTAAAGAGTACAAGCACAGCACACGTAGCCAGGGAAACTGCTCAGGGACAACGTCTGCGCACTGTTCACAGATGGTGTTCGAGTGCGCACTTGGCTCCCCAAAGGCCATGAACCATTAATGAGTCTCCACGGTTCCAACAGACCACTCCCTCTGTACTCCATCATGCTTCTGTGAAGCTGTCCATAAAAAGACGGTTCAACTGGGTCTGGAAAGATGGCTTGGTGGTCAAGAGCATGGACTGCTCTTGTAGGAGACTCAAGTTCAGTTCCCAGCACCCATGTCAGATGGCACCTATCTTCAGAAGGATCCAATACCTCTGGCCTCTGCAGGTACCTGCACTCACATGCACACACAGACACATAGTTAAAGGTAATTAAAATAAATCTTTAAAAAGGCAAAACGAAACAATGTAGCCCTGGCTGGCCTGGAACTCCCAATCAAACCAGGCTGGCCTCAAACTCAAGGGATTTCACTGCCTTTGTCTCCCAAACAGCTAATTATTAAAGGTGTGTGCCATCATGCCGGTCAAAAATAATAAAAATAAATCTTAAAAAAAAAAAAAAAAGATTTCAAGCTGAGTGTGGTGGCACACACCTTTAATCCCAGCACTCAAGAGGCAGAAGCAGGCAGATCTCTATGAGACTGAGGCCAGCCTGGTCTACATAGTGAGTTCCAGGCTAGCTGTGGCTACCGGGAGACGCTGTCAAGCTGGAGACGGAAGCTCAAGCATGTAACCCCAGCACTTAGGGGGCAAAGGCAAAGGGATTTGAACATTTGAGGACAGCTTAGTCTACATGGTGTGTTCCAGGACAGACAGGGTTACAGGGACCCTGTGTTGAAAAATAAAATCAGAACAACTCAACAAAAACCATATACTTTTCTGTTTCTTTGGCCTTCATTTTAGAAGGTTCTTGTAAAAACATCTATTAATGTGGGCATGACAGTATAAACATGTAACCTCAAACTCAACAAGTAGAGGCAGGATGTGGAGTTCAAAGGCCAGCCTGGGCTACACAGCAAGACCCTGACTCAAAAACAGAAGAGTTGGGGGTATAGCTCAGTGGAAGAGTGCTTGCCTGGCATGCACAGAGCCCTGGGTTTATCTAGCACTGCAAAAGCACAAAGGAAAGCACATGATATGAAATAAATTCATATACTTTTCTCCTTGGTATCATTTTTGTTAGAGGTCTCAGCCATGAACTTTGCAATGAGAAGGGAAAAAAGACACTTTGCCCTGCTAGCTGTGTGACCTTGAACAACTTACTTAGCAACTTTGTTTTTCTGAAGAATGGTGAAAGCTTAATAACTACTGAGGAGCCCCCCTTACACTTAATAACTACTGAGGAGCCCCCTTACGCTTAATAACTACTGAGGAGCCCCCCCTTACACCTAAGAACTACTGAGGAGCCCCCTTACACTTAATAACTCCTGAGGAGCCCCCTTACGCTTAATAACTACTGAGGAGCCCCCATTACACCTAATAACTACTGAGGAGCCCCCTTACACTTAATAACTACTGAGAAGCCCCCTTATACTTAATAACTACTGAGGAGCCCCCGTTACACTTAATAACTACTGAGGAGCCCCCGTTACACTTAATAACTACTGAGCCCTCCTTACACTTAATAACTACTGAGGAGCCCCCTTACACTTAATAACTACTGAGGAGCCCCCCATTACACTTAATAACTACTGAGGAGCCCCATTATGCTTAAAAACTACTGAGGAGCCCCCCCTTACACTTAATAACTACTGAGGAGCCCCATTATGCTTAATAACTACTGAGGAGCCCCCCCCTTACACTTAATAACTACTGAAGAGCCCCATTATGCTTAATAACTACTGAGGAGCCCCCCATTACACTTAATAACTACCGAAGGCCCCGTTGTACTTATTAAGTACTGAGGAGCCCCCGCCCCGTTACACTTAATAGCCACTGAGGAGCCTGCCGTTACATGTAGAACCCTGCCGTTACATGTAGAACACTTAGTGACCACTTAGGGAAGGCACTATGAGTACCAGGTACTATAGTGTCTGGAAGTTAAACAAGAAGCAGAGTAATTACAAAAAGTCATATTACAACGTATTTACAGACCACAATATTTTAAGATGCCCATATTTATGCAAAATTATAGAGAAATTCAATCAGTGTCTCTTGAACACCCTCCACTGATCCCTGCATCCCTGGAAATCTGACAAGCACTTTCCTGTGTCTTCTCATAAAGAAGCACTCCAATCCATCCCACGGTGAGCCAATTCTCTAATCTAAAGCAGCTCCTGCTTTAGGTCTCCAGCACGTCTACGCCCATGTGTAGAAAGATGAAGAGATGCACCCATACCTGCTTCTGAGGATGAAAATGCATGATTTATGGTAGACACAGGAACATTGGAACATTCAAAGTACTCCAGGTCTTCCTCTGGCTCACCTTTCACCTCAGCCCCAGCTGATTTCTGCCCACATGATGTGGATGCCAGCTTCTCCTCATCAGTAGCGTGGCCATCCCTGTTAGAAATGTCTGAGATCTGCGAGATCACTGCTCCTTCCTCCTGAGAAATGCAACAGAGAAGATGCTGACCTTCAGGGGCACTAGTGGGTTAGCAGCCACGGCTGACAGCATGACACTGCGTGCCGACCCGTGTCAGCATCTGAGAGCATGATACCACGTGCCGACCTGTGTCCGCATCTGAGAGCATGACACTGCTTGCCGACGTGTGTTGGCATCTGAGAGCATGACACTGCATGGCGACCTGTGTCAGGATCTGACAGCATGACATTGCATGGCGACCTCTGACAGGATCTGCCACAGGCCCAGCTACAAACCAGGAAGAAAATGGAATCTTCCCTTCCAAACACGAAATGCTACTTTTTCTAGATCTAGCATCCGTGATTTGAGCCTAAAATTTGAAATTTTGAGCTTTTCTAGCCTAAATACATAAATAAGCACTTTGAGTCATCACAGACAGCAGCTTTAAAATTTCTTGTTCATATGCCTAATTTTTTTCAGACACACATTGTGCTCTCAAGTCACATCTAAAAACTTTCAGGATTAAGTATCTTTAGTAACAATTAAACACCTTTCAAAGAATACCTTCAAATAATTACAAATCAGCATAGTCTAAATACCTAAGTAGCTTAATGTAATTTACTCAAGTGATCTGACATCCACACCCTGTGACCCATTTTAAAACTATACAAACATGTTTTTTTTTTTTTTTTTTTTCCTTTTTTAGGACAGGTCTCCTTTTTACCCCCGCTGGCCCGGGACCCCACCTTTATACCAGGCCTGGGAGGATGGTTGACTGCCATTACTGCTGCCCCTCTGGGGAGAATAGCTTCTGTTCCCATAGATGGGAGACTCAGGCTTAGTCACCAGGCTAACTCAGATCTCCCCAGCACCAGCTGCTGCCAAGGAGCTACATCAGCAGGATTGAGCTTGGAGATGGCTTAAGGCCAAGGAGGAATGACTTTCCACTCTCACCACATCCTCAATCAGACCAACCTGAGTACTGGGGAAGGAGGGCTGAGGCCAGAACTGCACTTCAAGGTCTTATCAGACAGACTGAGATGCAGATATACCTTGCCATGGACAAGGACCTAGGGGAGCAGCAGTTCTCAAGGGCAAGAGGCAGAGGATAAGGAGAGGACGATCAGGAACCACAACCCTCAGGCAATAATAGCTTTAAGGGTTCTTTTCTTTTTTTGTCCTTTTTGAGACAGAGTCTCCTTGTAGCCCCAGCTGGCCTGGAACTCACTATGTAGACCAGGCTGGTCTCGACAAACAAGTTCTTCAACTGTCATAAATTTACAATATCCTTTTTTTCTCTCTGAATTTGTATTTCTACTCCACTTCTATCAGGAAGTTATAGCAAGGCCAGGTGTGGTGGTGCACACTTTTAATCTCAGCACTTGGGAGGGAGAGGCGGGTGGATTCCTGTGAGATCCAGTCCAGCCTGGTCTACACAGTGAGTTCTAAGCCAGCTGAGGCTATAGGGAGAAAGAAGCTACGCCATGAAGAAGGAAGAGAGAGCAGATGAGATGAAAAGTGCACTGCAAAGAGGCAAAAATCAGAGAATTTAAAGAAATTCTCCTAATGAAATCTACTTCTGTGACTAAGCTTGTGTATGAGGTGTATGCACACATACATGTGGATCTGTGTGGAGGCCAGAGATCCACACAAGGTGTCTTCCTCCATCACTCCCCGTCACTCTCCACCTTGTTTTTCTGACACAAGGTGTCTCTCTGGACCTGGAGCTCACTGATTTAGCAGACTGGTTGGCCAGCAGATCCCGAGGATCCACCATAGCCACTCCACAGTGCTGGGGTTACAAGCATGCACGGCTGCGCCTGGCCTTTTCATGGGTGCTAGGATCAAGCACAAGCATTTTACCCACTGAGCTCCAGCTCTAAAAGTCTTGTTTCTCTGATTAAGACTATTTTTTCCTTGACCACAAGTCTTTAAGTGTTATTTTTATTCTGGAAAGTTATCATTATAGTTACTAATGAACAATTTATCTTCAAAATACTGCCAGATTTTGGTGGGTTTTTTTTTTTTTGTTGTTGTTGTTGTTGTTTTGTTCTGTGGGTTTTTTTTTTTTTTTTTGGCCTTTTTGAGACAGGGTCTCCTTGCAGCTCCAGCTGTCCTGGAACTCACTATGTAGACCAGGCTGGCCTGGAACTCATAGAGATTTGCCTGCCTCTGCCTCCTGAGTGCTGGGATTAAAGGCGTAAGCCAACAGGCCCAGCCATACTGCAAGTTTTTACAATAATTATCAAACACAGGTGCTACCACGATGTGTGAGTAGGTAAAGGCACCCACCATCAGTCCTGAAGACCTGAGTTCAATTCCCAGGATCCACGTGGTAGAAGAAGACAACCAACTTCCACAAGTTGTCCTCTGACCTCTACAAACATGCTGTGTCAGGTGTGCCCCCCCCACACACAATGAATAAAATAATTACCATGTACAGCAGTATATACTGTTGCACTAATTATTAAAACCTTTACAGTATGTATGCATATATATCTATGTATAACCTTTACAGTGTGTATGCATATGCATCTATGTATGTATAACCTTTCCAGTGTGTATACATATGCATCTATGTATGTATAACCTTTACAGTGTGTATGCATATATGTATGTATAACCTTTACAGTGTGTATGCATATATGTATGTATAACCTTTACAGTAGGTATGCATATACATCTATGTATAACCTTTACAGTAGGTATGCATATACATCTATGTATGTATAACCTTTACAGCAGAATACATAGGAGTTTTGTTTTTTGTGTTTTAGACAACTGAAAATAACTGTCTAATAGTTTTTGCGGTTGAAATTTTCAGGAAGATTTTTTTTTTTTTTTGGTCTTTTTGAGACAGGGTCTCCCTGTAGCCCCAGCTGTCCTGGAACTTACTATGTAGACCAGGCTGGCCTTGAATCCCAAGTGCTGGGATTAAAGGTGTGTGCCACCACGCCAGGCCTAGGAAGATTTTTTTTTTTTAATACAATTGTAGTAGTCAAAGAAAAACTCAGATAGCAAATCTCCACCCCCCTGCTTTTTTTAAAATATCCTAAACTCTATCAAGTTTCTGGTACAAATTCTATTAAATAATGAGTGTTTTATAATTATAGTTATGCTAAAATAAAGTTTAAATAAGAAGAGATCCCAGGAGTCAGTGCTCTGGTTTTAGGAGTTTTTGGTTTGTTTCCCAATTACTTCATATAGTCATGGGTACATATTATTTATTCCTAGAATAAAGTAAGGTCAGTATCAATTTCTGGTTTCCATTTTTATAATTATAATCAGAAGATGAAACCAAAACTATAATAAGATCTATCAATGATTATTCACAAAATGAAGAAGGGAAGTTTTGTAATAAAAATGCCTTTCAACCTCTTGAGCCCTTTCCCAGGATCAGTGCCAAAAGATTCTCTCATCAAACTTATTTCAGGTTCTCCACTGTGTTGAAAGCAATGGACTGGGAAGCCACCTGAGCTTAAAAAATATTTTCTGGGGCTGGAGAGATGGCTCAGTGGTTAAGAACACTAGCTATTCTTGCAGAAGACCCAGATTCAAATCCCAGCACCCACATGGCAGCTAACAACTGTCTGTAACTCCAGTTCCAGGTGATCTGACAGCCTCTTCTGATATCCGCAGGCATTGCATGACATAGGTGCACTTACCTACATGCAGGCAATACATGCATACACATAAGGTAAAAATAATAAAAGTTAACAAAAAATATTTTCTGATTACTAGAGTCAATTACCTCCTTATAACCTAATCCTGATATTTCAAACCATCCCTTTCGTGATCTGAAGAGGTGAACTGCTGGTGGTGCTAGATGCTAAATCTAGAAAGATTTAGAATAGGATTTTTTTAAGTTGAAGGAAGATCATTGTGAGAGGTCCCTTTTCTTCCTAGGTCTTCCTGGATGAGTTCAGGACAGTAAGGAACTAAAACTAGTTTCCTTCAAGCTGAGTACTCAGGCAGCCCTACAGAATGAAACCAGGCAAGAACCTCTGTCTACGAGACATTCTAGTGACAGACACAGACATACCTGAGAACAAGTATCCAGAGCAAGAGACTGAGTTTCGCATGTCCTCACCTTGCAGCCACTCCTGGAAATGAAAGGAAAAAGATGAGCCGGTGTGGACTCTCACTGACAACTCTCCAGTATGAGATGGAGCACACAGCAGGGTGTGGGGAAGCCAAAGCACGTAGCACCACACAATCAGACACCTGCATGGTAGAGATGTGGAGAAGATGCGTGCTCTAGAGACTGACAGCTGGGCTCATTATCTGGCAAACCACCCCAGTCTGTGGTCTGCCAGATGCCAGTAGTCTGGGCCCCACGTGTTTACTCACACGCCACACAACCCATTTAGGTCATCTAAGGGCGGCCTCCCCAGCTAAAGACATGTGGTTCTGATCTTTACTCGCTTGTTTTTGGCGTTCATCAGAAAAATTATCACACTGGAAGAGAGTCTTTGAAAATTCTTTATTGCACAGAAATCTTCTAAGACAGCTCCAGTCTAGACTGGGTGCTTACAGAAAAGAGCCATGGCCAAGAGAGAGTATTAAAGTAAAAATATTTGAATAAAGTATTACCATTCTTAAGTAGTAAGGTGGAGAAAATGAGTACCATGAACTGTCCAATGCCCAGAACTGAGGAAAACTTGGACCACCTGTTATTTTTAGATTAGTATACAATTTGTGATCGCAGGATTAATAGAGATTCTGTTATGTTTTAATGAACTTAAAATATTCAGAAAAAAAATCCCCCCCCACACAAAAAGAATACCCCACAGTCATTTTGCCAACAAAAGAGAATTTTGAAACGTGCACGGTCACTAATCCAGTCCCTTCTCTAATGCTTGCTCTAAGTGTCACCCTCTGTCATCAAACTTAAGTTCACTCAGTAAAATGTATTATCTGCTCTAAGACAGTAGCATCATTCAATAAAAAAAAAAAAAATCCAATTATTCCCAGCATTAAGTAGCAGATCACTTCAAATCACTGCTGTATGGTTGGGGCCAAGCCAGCTTTTAGGTCAAAGTGCCACGTGACATGTGCCAAGCCAGGGGGACAAATGCTCTTGTACCTAAGGCGGAAAGGGCGACCTCCACTCCTTCAGGTACACACGAATGCAAGGCTAAGCCAACTATGAAGTGGCAAATGAAATGCAAAAAAATCATTGTAAGGTCAACTCAGAACAGAAGCCAACATGCAATGGAGAGAAAGCTGGGGTGGAGGTAAGAGGAGACTGCCAGACAGTCTCAGTGACAGGCGAAGTTCATAGCAGGCGTACTTACAACAGAAAACAGAGAAATTTCACTTGCTCAGTAGTCCTGATGCACCAACAAAATGAGAGACAGGAAAGAGACAGACAGATGGGAAAAAGATCATGTGAAAGCTAGAATATTTATCTTTGACTAGTAAATGCAAAAGTTTCACAATTCTTCATATGATGTGAAATACAAATTAAAAATGTCATATTCATGAATGTTAGCACTGGTGTGTGAATGGTATCAAGACCTCAACGCTAATGGAGTGGAGTGATGCAAACACTCAGAAATGATACAGATCCAAATCTGTTGATGAAAAGTAAGCCTCAGAATGCATATAAATGCCTAACACAAAGAAACAGTGTTTCACTACTGAGCATATTTACTGTAACTGTCCAATTCCAGGTCAAAGGCAATGCCTAAACAAAAATACAGTTGAAAAGGTATCTGGTTATGTCCCCAGTAGGTATCTAAGAAACCTACAGTGAGCCAGGCATGGTGGAGCATGCCTAAATTCTAGCAGTCCAGAGGCTGAGGCAGGAGGACGGGAGGGTAAGGCCAGCCTGGGCTCCGCCCACCCCGACTTCACACCACTTACAGTATTTGGCCTGCAGATCCCAAACATGTTGCATGTCTCTATTTTACCTTTTTGTATGTCCCACTGACTCCTAAAGAGCTACTCTAGATGTCAATGTCGTGATTGTTTTTGGTCTTTTCAACAGGTAAAGTGCTCTGTTCACCCTAGCACCACACAGAAGACCCCGTACTCTTTTCTTATAGAAACAGAATTTAAAAAAAAAAATACATCTCTATGATACATTACATCAAGACCTTCATTTCACAAAAACAAAGCAGGAAGAAACGCCAGCAGGTGAGGACGGCATGACCCAAGAGTGGGCATTTCTTGGTTCTAAACACAAAGCATAGAGCACGTTTCTTCTTTAGCCCAGGTTTAATCTCACACAAACGCACTAGCTTCCCACCTTCAGCCTGCAGCTGGAAAAAGGGCTCTCAAGAGACTACAACTTTGGTAGGCATGTCAGAGACAAAGAACCAAGGCAGCAACATGCCTAGCACATACCCCAAGTACTGTCTAGACACAGATATCTAACTTTATAAAACTCACAAGAAAGCTGTGTAGACAGTCAGTCAATAATAGTTTTCAAAACCCGTTTAATTGGTCAGATAAATCAGAAAACAAATCAAGAGAATACCAATGTCATTTTACTCCCCTTACACATACAGGGAGAGACTCTGGAGAACTGATTCCTGTATTGCTCAGCTTCCTTGGTCTTGAGACTGATGCTTCTTCTCTTTAAACCCTTGGATGATTTCTTTTCCAGTATAATTCATAATTTGGTGCTTTCTTACAAGACAATGCTGCTGCAAAGTATTTTCTAGGTGATTTGGTGAAAATCACAGATACAGCACTTAAACTGCCTCTTTTTATTTAAAAAAATTTATTTATTACATTATTTTATGTGTATGAGTGTATTGCCTGCATGTATGTGAGTGCACCCATGTCGTGCAATGCCACAGAGGTCAGAAGAGGGCTTCAGATTCCCCTGGAACTGGAGTTAAGGATGGTTTGTAGCCACCATGTGGGTGCTGGGAATCGAACCTCAGTCCTTTACAAGAGCAGTCAGTGCTCTTAACTGCTAAGCCATCTCTCCGGCCCCTAAATTGCCTCTTTTTTTATTTTAATTTTATTTGTTATTTTTATTTTCTGTGTCTAAGTGTACTGCCTGCATGTATGTAAGTGTACCCATGTCATGCAATGCCCTTGGAGGTCAGAAGAGGGCATCAGATTCTAGAACTGGAGTTACAGACAGTTGTTAGCCACCATGTGGGTGCTGGGAATCGAACCTCGGTCCTCTGCAAGAGCAGCCCGTGCTCTTAACTGCTGAGCCATCTCTCCAGCCTCTACTTAAAGTGCCTCATAACATCTCATCCTCGACATCACTGGTCCATTACATCTAATTTCTCATAAGATGTCACAGGGTTATAAACAGGTATACATCTTCTATTCAACTTTTTTACAATGCAATCCCACAGCAAAGTTAAACTGAAACCTCACGTGGGATATGGCCTGAGGGATCACTCTGGGAACTCCCAAGACTTACCCAAAGTTCATTCAGGTTTTCCAGGAGAAATGGGTGCGTGTGTAAGGAACATGACTAATTTATTCGGGATCAACTGACCATTTAGAATACTCTCAATTCTTATCACGGAAATTTGCTAATGAATCAAAAACACACATAAAGACAAGAATTCTCACCACCACCACCAAAAAACTTTACAACTTTCTATTCTATAAGATCATTCTGGATGTTTTTTAACATTATTGACATGGGACAGGTAATCTGCATAGTTGGAACTTTAGTTTTATCCATAAGAAATCTGAAAATGGTGGACAGCACGGATACCAAATTCACTATACAAAGTGATTCCTGACAAGGATTTCTGAAAAACCTCAAATCTTCACTTGATTATTTCAAACATAATTTTTAAGAAAAAGTATCCAAGGTGGAACGAAATAAACAATTAAGTTAAGGAATCAGAAACAGGGCAGAAATCAACAAAGGAGACTCTGGTACTTGTGACTGCACAGAAGAGCTAGGAAGAGTGAGGACTACAGAAAGCTCTAAGTTTTCGATCTGCCCCACTGTACCACAAACGTTAAATCAATTCACAGAAACCAAAAGTAGCCAGCTGCCAAACTCCCAGAGAACAGAGCAGAGCACCACACCCAGCACCCACTGCCACTCACGTTATTAAACGCGACTTTGCCTTCTTAGGTGATTCTAAGATTTCATTAACATGATTACCAGAGGCGGAACAAAAGTCGCTGCTGGTCAAAGCTGAGGTTGGTTTAAAGGGATCCATGGTTTCGTCAAAGGGGTAGGAGCCTTTAGAGGACAGGGGTGGGGAGTTCTGCAGAATAGGGTAGCTCTCAAAGGGATTCAAGTTAGGGTGATCCCGTTGACTAGGATCTAGCTTAGAAGACATCTGGGAGAGAGGAGTATCTTGGACGGTGGGGTCTGCAGGTTGTCCTACACCTACTGGCTTACTGAGGCCGTCTTTTTGTATCTTAGGTGTCAGTTTGTCACCAGGTTCCCTGCCAAGTTTTCTTGGAAGGGCTTTCCTGGCCTCTGCATTTTCCGCATCTTCTGTAAAATCAAGCTCGAGTTTGAGAGGCGAGTTCCTGGCCTCCTCCTGTAGCTCAACCCCTGAGTCACTGGTGTCGTTACTGAAAACATCCACAGATTCTTTAAGATCAGACGATTTCTGGCCCCAGGTACCTGCAGGGGCACAGGAAAGTGTGTTCTCATCCAACTCATTGGAGAGGGGCGAGCCCACCCTGGCAGGCATTTCCAAGTCTCCCCCAGCTGCTTTCTTCCTCAGGGAGACAGGTCTGGGCTTTCTTAGCTTGCTTCTGCTGGCCACGGGCTCCGGACAGGGGACTGCAGCCTTCATATCCACTTCTGTGAAAGCCTCAAATGTAAGCCCCATGCTGACTTCTGTCACTGGCTTGTCCCAGGTGGCTTCTGGTGCAGCAGAGACCACAGTTACACAGCCATGGGCTGCTTTTGTTTCAAGGGCTGCTGGGATGGCTGTGGAATTCTTGGTTTCTATTGAAAATGGCCTCACTACGGAGATTTTGCTAATATCTTCTTTGACGTTCTTTACTAAGTGAGACTCAATGGTTGTCTGTGGCACCTCATTTTCTGAAGGCTTAGCACTAGGATCAGATGAGCATTTTTCAATTACTTCTGCTAGCAGCTGTTCATCAGCTTCCTGCAAGTCTAAAAAAAGGAAAGGAAAGAAAAGAAAAAAAATCCATGAAAGAACTGTTTTTCTACCACTGGTAGGTACACACTGTTTGGATTTGCTGGACAAACAGCAAGCTCTCTTCCATTCTTATTAAGCAGCTTAGCAATGATGGACGTGTAACCTAAATGGGCTCTGCACCCTAAAGTGAATTTTCCTTGGTGCAGGAAATTATTATGCTAGTACTATAGCTGTTCAGCAAAAGGTGAAGTAGATCAGGGGTCTATTACAATGTGTACTAGGTGATGCTGACATTCTGTAGTTTAAAACTGGTCTGGAGAAATCCACACACCAAAGGCGTGGCTGCCAAGGGTACAGATAAGCACCAAACTGGCTCCCAGGACAGAATGATGTTCCCATGGTCAGAGTTCTGCAGTTAGCAGATCTGGTATGTCAAAGTAAAAAGCCCAAGTATTCCCTATTCCAGAGACTAGAATTAAATGAACTGACTGTTCCAAGAAACAGTTGAAAACCCCACTATGGTCAGCTCATGGGCTACCTTTCTATGGATATGATAACTAGAAAAACCAAGTAAAAGGGCAAAATAAAATTAGAAATGAATATTAATATGACTTTATAAGCTGGGCAAAGTGGTGCATGCCTATAATCTTAGCATTCAGGAGACAGAGGATCATGAATTGTAGATCCTGTCTCAAAACACAAACACAAAACCAAAAATGGCATTAAAAAAAAATCCCTCAAGTAACTAAGACACAATCCATAAAGCAATATCATTTTTTCTTTGTAACATTGGTCTCTAGTCTGGGTTGGTAATCCCCTCAATCACTTATAAAAATAAAAGTATCTTTCTTCTTTGTGTTTTTTTGTTTCTTTGCTTTGTATTGGAGACAGGATCTTACTACATTATGTAACCTGGCTGGCCTGGAAATCACAGAGATCTACTTGCCTCTGTCTCCTGGGAAAAAAATAATTGGGGTTTTGCTAGGAAAAATGTACAAGTTTACTACAACGGTACAAATGAAAGCATTTCTATAAAACAGGAACTAAGTGCTTTCCTAACCCAAGACACTTGAACCAACAGTGTAGCAGTAAAACCCAAGTCAGTTGGTTTTCTCTCACCTCGTGACCTTAAAGGCACAGACTCTAGTGCACACCAGAGGGCACAGAACCCTGCACCCTACCACAGCTTGCCTGAGGCATCCCTTCCCCTCGACTATTCTCGAGTTGTATCCTCTTCCAGCAACTATAAACCCTGGACAGGAGATTATGGGAACATCTGAATTTATAGCCAGTGGATCAGGAGTACTAGGATTTGTGACTTGTATCTGAAATGGGGACAATCTTGTGGGCCTGAGCTCTTGACTTATGGGGTTTGGATTAACTACAGATAGTGTCAGAACTGAACTGAATCACTGGACACCCATATTAGAGAATCAAAGAATATGTAAATGAGAATCTTGTCTTGAAACAGTGGATATTAAACAGATACAACCACTAAAGTATCTGGTAGTTTTATGATTTGTATCTGAAATGGGGACAATCTTGTGGGCCTGAGCTCTTGACTTATGGGGTTTGGATTAACTACAGATAGTGTCAGAACTGAACTGAATCACTGGACACCCATATTAGAGAATCAAAGAATATGTAAATGAGAATCTTGTCTTGAAACAGTGGATATTAAACAGATACAACCACTAAAGTATCTGGTAGTTTTATGATTTAAGATTAAAGGGGCCAATATAATTTCATAAGAGCATACATATATATAGCTAAAAGTTACTTGACAAACCGCAAAGCCAGACAGGCGATACCTTCAGTCGAGTTGTTGGCCAGGATGGATAAAGGCTCTTCCAGATAGTAACCCAACACACTACTGCAAAAATGAACAGCAGACCCCAATTCTATCCAAAGGAATACTGACAATGGATTGCCGTAGATGAGGAACAGCTGATCCTCCTGGAACAGGGACCTCTGGCTGACTAGATTTACCAGAAGGGCAGATAGGGGGGAATAGATGGGGGTCCTGACAACACAGTGGACAGTGGCAGGGATGACAGAGTATGGAGGCTCTAGTGGGAGAGGAAGGCTGTCTATCTGACGAGTTTATATTCATACTCAGATGCCAAGGAACTCAGAAAGTAAGCGACTGTGACCAGTAATAGTCATATATAGAGAGATTAGAAATGCATGTGAAAACGTCTCAATGTCAATTGCCTTAAAATGAATTTTTCTGTATGAAACTGTGTATTTTAACAACGAAGTGGAGATCTTTTTTAAACGTTAAAACCTCATTGAATTTTATGTCTTATAGAGTTTATAATGAGTAAAAGATTGTATAAGCGTAATAATTCATCTGTAAACCTAAAAATGTACAGCCAATTTTGAAAGAGATGTACCCTAGCTCAGAAAAAATGTTATTGAATAGGTTAATGCTGTTGTAATGAAACGCTTCTTCTAATTAAAAAAATATTTTATTGAAAAAAAAGTCATTTTTTTTTTATTTTGATATATCACAGTGAAAGATTTATCGTCCTCTTTTTTTTTTTTTTTTTTTTTTAAAAAAAAAAAAAAAAAAAAAAAAAAAAAAAAAAAAAAAAAACAGAACTAACAGAGGGGAATCAGGACATTACCATCACTGCTGGTCAACTGTACGTCAGCTTTGCTTCTTATTTATTTAAAATGAAAAGATCTTTCTTCAGTTTGTACCTAAGCACTGGTTTCTCTATTGTGTGGCCAAGAAAGTTAAGACTATGTTCTATGTTGACTATTATATTGCAAACAATTAAAACCCCTCTATGGTCCTTTGAATGAGAAATGCCCCCCAAAGGCTCATTGTATTTAAACACTTTGTTCCCAGGTGGAATGGTTTATGATGGCCCTGTTTGGGGGAGGTTATGGAACCTTTAGGAGGTGGCACCCTGCTGGAGGAAGTACATTACTAGGGTGGGCTGTGAGAGTTTATAGCCTCACCCCACTTCCAGTCTGCTCTCTCTACTTCCTGAATGTGAGTGGATGGCGATGTGAGCTCCCCGCTCCTGCTCCATCACCATTATAGACTGTTCCTCTCAAATCAAAAGCCAAATAAACTTTCTTTCATAAAAACAAAAATATTTTAATGTTATTTTTTTCATCAAAAAGATTTAAACTCATACAGAATCACTTCATGTACTTTTTTCAAAATTTTATTTCTGTAAAATTTTAAAATTAGATGAACTGATAGACACTGCTAGCAATTCAACTTTGCAACACATTTTCCCGTGATTCTTTCAGATTTCTGGATGAGGTCTTCTAATAATGAAGAAAACTCCCATTAAATACTTACTGAATATGGGAAAAGAGGCTGGGGAAACAGAAAGGCATCAGGACTGCAGCCCTATGAGCCTCCTTGAAGCTGGGCTTCACCGTAGGGTTTGGTCAGGTTTATATTTGAAAGAGCGTATCCAGCTACAATGTAGAAATGTGTTGGCAGGGGTTGAAATGAAGAGTAAAACTACATGATATTCTGGAGCGTTAGTGGGGGTGCTGCTAATTAGCAGAAAGCAAAGCTCTACGACAATGAAGAGTAAATAAAGAGGTTCGACTGGTAAGGCTTAGAGACGGTCTGGACAGGGACTGCAGCAAGAGGCATCAAAGGTGATATGATCAAAGGCGATTCAAATGTCTTTAGCTTTAGAACCTAGAAGTCAGAAGACAGTAGTGCTACCTGAGAAGACTTGGGAAATACCAGAAAAAGAGCTTGAGTCCTGTAAAGTGGGTGGGCTTCCTAGACAGGATGACAGCTACTTAGGGACTCTGAAGTAGAGTTGCTGCACAGGCCGAAAGCTCAAGAGCTAGTGGGCTGGACATCATGGTTAGCTCAGTTGAAACCACGGCTACAGATGTGCCTACCATAAACACTCACTGACTACCACCACAGTTATAAGTGAGCACCATTCCATACTTCTACGTTGAGCCTTAACATTTGGAAATCCAAATTATTAAAATAGAAGTAGACAATTTTTTAAAGTTCACTTAAAAAAGGTTAACCCGGGGGTTGGGGATTTAGCTCAGTGGTAGAGCGCTTGCCTAACAAGCGCAAGGCCCTGGGTTCGGTCCTCAGCTCTGGAAAAAAAAAAAAAAGGCTGTTGAGCGTGTGCAGAGCAAAACCCTGATCAAATCTGACACAGACAGCGATAACACAGAGGTCTACTTTGTGTATTGGAGGTGATCGTGGTTTTATAAGTTTGGGGGTTTATAAAGGGCATAGCTCATTGGAAGAACACATACTTAGCATTCACAGGGCTCTGGGTTTACTCTGCAGCACAAGGAAAGAAGAAAGGAAAGGAAAATGAAGGGTTGTTTGTCTGATTGGTTGGTTTTTGGTCTTTTTGAGACAGGGTCTCCCTGTAGCCCCAGCTGTCCTGGAACTCACTATGTAGACCAGGCTGGCCTTGAACTCACAGAGATCCACCTGCCTCTGCCTCCCTAGTGCTGGGATTAAAGGCATGCGCCACCACGCCCAGCTAAAATGAAGATTTTTTAAAAGCTGTATAATTTTCAAGTTACACTGGCTGCCCTTCTCCTCTCCTTGCTCTGACTGAAGCATTCACTAGCAGTCCCGTCATAGGGCCCTGAACCCTAATACTCAGTCCTCTGCACTTTCTTTGTAAGCTTTTGAAGCTTGGCATTTAGGAACTAGAAGCTGAGCAGCCCTTTTCCCTCCTCCTATGAGACCATCAACTTTCGGAGTTCTGTTTTTCTTTGTTATCCAGACCCCTTCACGACCAATCCCACACCTCAAAGAAGAGTCCATGGGAATCACACCTCCTCACCTACTATCTCTTCATTTGTGCCTTCCTCCTATATCTGAAGGTGTGATACTACATATGCAAACAGACAAGAGGCTTTGTGAGAAACAGCTGACACCCCACATACTCCTTCCTGGTACCTGTGCTCCCGTCTGGCATTCAAACGGTTAGCAATTAGAGCTGTACGCTGTACACAATGTCTGAGTGTCACAGAGGACCATAAAGCA